TGTCAAGGTAATTGCTCGGATGAGTTCGAACATGGGTCATCTCGGATGAAAAACTAGGCCACAGGAGCTAAATATAGAAAAACCTTGTTAACACTCTAGTGGTCACATTTTTGACTTAATTATCATCAAACTTGGTCGGGATGCTTGTTTAGGTAATTGCTCTGATCAGTTTGAACATGGGTCATCTCGGATGAAAAACTAGATCACAGGAGCTAAAAATAGAAAAACCTTGTTAACACTCTAATGGTCACATTTTTTACTCAATTGTCATCAAACTTGGTCAGGATGCTTGTCTAGGTAATTGCTCGGATGAGATCAAACATGGGTCATCTCAGATGAAAAACTAGGTCACAAGAGCTAAAAATAGAAAAATCTTGTTAACACTCTAGTGGCTACTGTTTTGATCCAAATATCGTGGAAATTGGTCTGAAAGTTTGTTTTGATGATTTCTAGGTCAAGTTCCAATATAGGTCAGTTTGGTCAAGGTCATCAATGCTCAAAATAAATTTTAACATTTTTGCCCATACAGCCTTTATTTATTGACAGGTGTATTTCATATTTGGTAGGAAGATAACTTGCATGATATTTTATAGGTGTCAGTGGGTCAAGGTCAAGGGTGCCAAGTATAGATTTCTTACATTTATATATATTTGGCTCTTGTTGACTCAATTAACATCAAACTTGGTCAGAATGGTTGTCTAGGTAATTGCTCAAATGAGTTCAGACATGGGTCATCTCGGATGAAAAACTAAGACAAAAGAGCTAAAAATAGAAAAACCTTGTTAACACTCTAGTGGTCACATTTTTGCCTCAATCATCATCAAACTTGGTCAGGATGCTTGTCTAGGGGGTAGCTTGAATGAGTTCGAACATGGGTCATCTCGGATGAAAAACTAGATCACAGGAGCTAAAAATAGAAAAATCTTGTTAACACTCTAGTCGTCACAATATTGACTCGATTGTCATCAAACTTGGTCAGGAAGCTTGTCTAGGTAATTGCTCGGATAAGTTCGAATATGGGTCATCTCGCATGAAAAACTAGGTCATTGGAGCTAAAAATTGAAAAATATTGTGAACACTCTAGTGGCTACTGTTTTGATCCAAATATCCTGTGAATTGGTCTGAAAGTTTGTTTTGATGATTTCTAAGTCAAGTTCGAACATGGGTTATCTCGGATCAAAAACTAGGTCACACCGCCCTAATATGGAAAAACCTTGTTAACACTCTAGTGGTCACATTTTTGACTCAATTATCATCAAACTTGGTCAGGATGCTTGTCTAGGTAATTGCTCGGATGAGTTCGAAATCGCATGTGAAACTAGGTCACTGGAGTTAAAAATAGAAAAATCTTGTTAGCACTCTAGTTGCTACTGTTTTGATCCAAGTATCCTGGAAATTGGTCTGAAAGTTTGTTTTGATGATTTCTAGGTCAAGTTTGAATATGGGTCACCTGGGTAAAAAACTAGGTCACACTGCTCAAATATGGATAATCCTTGTTAACACTGTAGTGGTCACATTTTTGACTCACCTGTCATGAAACTTGGTCAGAATGCTTGTCTAGGTAATTGTTCAGATGAGTTTGATCAGTCAGGTGAGCGATCTAGGGCCATCATGGCCCTCTTGTCTAGCTCTCACATCAGTTACTTTTGTACAATCTATGGCATTGTGAAATTGTTGCAAAAAGTACACTGTTCCTGGTCATCAAACGTTTCATGTACAGATTTCTGTGTCACATAACTTCCGGTTCCTGTTTTCCGTCACACGCCCATGAAAAATGACGCTGTTATTCTGTTACTATCTAAATCTTCTGTAGTCTGCCCGACCTCTAAGATATTCAGTTCACGATATAATGCTTTGAGCAAAGTTTCTAGAAACCAGTTATTGCTGCCATTTTCTCGTGCTAAACTCTTGTGAATTTCTGCCGGAAGTTTGTCAATAATGACTGGTACTAAAAGAGTATAGGTATTTTGACATTTACCTAGGAATTCCAATCAGCGGATATTAGCTTCTAATTTATTAATATAATTTCTCATACTGTGTATAGTCTCAGTATTGCTCGGGGCTGGCAGATTTAGTATCGCCTGTATATACGCATGAATGATTTTATGAGACTGCCAGAACCTCTCCTTCAGTAAATTAACTGCTTGAATGTAATTTGCATGCATAAGTGAAAATCCTTGAATAACCTGAGCCAAACTGCCTTCTAGTTACATCTTCAGATAATTAAATTATTGTACTTCCGTAAGATTTGGGTTTTGATGAACAGATGAATCAAAAGCATCCTGAAAACTGCCTTTCGAGAATGTCACCACTAAATATAAGTAGCAATAATTTCGGCAGTCTCTGATAAAGCAACATGTTTCAATAAAATGTACTCACATTTTGTAAAGAACTGATACCATTATAATGTTATTATACCCCAAAAAACTAAGTTTGGGGGTGATATATTGGAGTCACCTGGTGGTCGGTCGGTCCAGCGGTCTGTTGCATTTTTCTTGTCCGGAGCATAACTTGAAGACTAATGGTTGGAATTCAATATAACTTCATACAATGGTCAAGCACATTGAGAGGAAGTGCAGTGCACAAGAACCATAACTTCTTCTTGACTAATTACATAGTTATTGCCCTTTGTTACTTTTCCTTGTCCAGAGCATAACTTGAAAACTACTGTTTGGAATTCAATACAACTTCATACAGTTGTCAAGGACATTAAAAGGAAGTGCAGTGCACAAGAGCCATAACTCCATTTTGACAAAACACAGAGTTACTGCCCTTTGTTATTTTTCCTTGTCCGGGGCATAACTTGAAAACTACTAGTTGGAATTAAAAACAACTTCATACAATTGTCAAACACAATAAGGGGAAGTGCAGTGCACAAGAACCATAACTCCATCTTGACTTATTACAGAGTTATTACCCTTTGTTATTTTTCCATTGCTTTTTTTGTCCGGAGCATAACTTGAAGACTAATGGTTGGAATTCATTATAACTTCATACAATGTTCAAGCACATTGAGAGGAAGTGCAGTGCACAAAAACCATAACTCTATCTTGACTAATTACAGAGTTATTGCCCTTTGTTACTTTTCCTTGTCCAGGGCATAACTTTAAAAGTACTAGTTGGAATTAAAAACAAGTTCATACAATTGTCAAACACAATAAGGGGAAGTGCAGTGCACAAGAACCAAACTCTATCTAAAGTAATTACAGAGTTATTGCCCTTTGTTACTTTTCCATTGCATTCTTTTGTCTGGACCATAACTTGAAGACTAATTGTTGGAATTCATTATAACTTCATACAATGGTCAAGCACATTGAGAGGAAGTGCAGTGCTCAAGAACCATAACTCCGTCTTGACTTATTACAGAGTTACTGCCCTTTGTTACTTTTCCTTATCCAGAGCATGACATGTAAAGTACTGGTTGGAATTCAAAACAACTTCATACAATAGTCAAGCACAATAAGGGGAAGTGCAGTGCACAAGAACCATAACTCCATCTTGAATTTGTACAGAGTTATTGCCCTTTGTTACTTTTCCATTGCTTTTTTTGTCCGGAGCATAACTTGAAGACTAATGGTTGGAATTCAATATAACTTCATACAATGGTCAAGCACATTGAGAGGAAGTGCAGTGCACAAGAACCATAACTCCATCTTGACTAATTACAGAGTTATTGCCCTTTGTTACTTTTCCTTGTCCAGAGCATAACTTGAAAACTACTGTTTGGAATTCAATACAACTTCATACAGTTGTCAAGGACATTAAAAGGAAGTGTGGTGCACAAGAGCCATAACTCCATTTTGACAAAACACAGAGTTATACCCTTTGATACTTTTCCTCCGGAGCATAACTTAAAAGGTACTGGTTGGAATTCAAAACAATTTCATACAATTGTCAAGCACAATAAGAGGAAGTGCAGTGCACAAGAACTATAACTCCATCTTCAGTATTTATAGAGTTATTGCCCTTTGTTACTTTTCCTTGTCTTTCTGGACTTATTACAGAGTAATTCAATAAAACTTCATCAATGGCCAACCACATTGAAAGGAAATGCAACATACAAGAACCACAACTATCTTTAATTGCCCACAACCATAACTCTATTTCAATTCTTTTACAAGGTATTCTGTTACTAGTAACATCCTCATATCCAAAGCAGTCTTGTGGGGGTATTAATCACATTTAGTGATAGTTCTAGTTATATTTGATCAGGGAACTTAACTTTCGTCTTTGTTCTGATTTTGCGTGTTAGTTGGTTTGCTATAAGAATTCTTTTGTTTTTCAGTGTTGCTTTTTATATTTTTCGCCATAAGCTGGAAGTTCCCTCACCTTTATCTCCAATGTTAATTCATATTCTCCACTGCTTACTATTTCCTCCTCGATGTTGATTACTTCTGATAGTTCTAAAATCTTTTTGTTTTAGGATTTGAGCGTCTCTGCTTTTCTGATAAAGCCTGCGAGAATTGCGTAAAATTCTATCATTCATGAATTCTCTTTGACGGTTCATTTGGATCAAGCTGAATTTCTACACATCTTTGTTGACCCTCTGACTGATCGCAATTTATCTATCTTCATAATGATTTTGTCACGGCACACATATTGGATTCTGAGGATAATAATGTACAACATGTTGTGTCTGGTTTATACATCTATTCAAACTACTAACGTTTCATAATTCCAAACATAGGAAGTAACATACTCTAATGCCATGCATACGTTGGCGTCATTTAATGGCACATGCACATGAGCCCAATTCCAGACAACTATGATGCAAACAAACTAAGAACTCAAGAGATTTGATTTCTTTCATTTCTTCCACTGTTATGTCATAATTGAATGGCCATGGTCTTAGTCTGGGGTTCTAACCAGTAGGGGACTTTTGTATAGCTTGCTATACTTTGTTAATTGCTTGTGTATTTTATTTTCTAGAAGACAAATAATGCCATAGAAGAATAGAGACATAACGTTTATAGTGTAATTTTATATATTTTGTATTCCAGGAGAGAAGACTGTTCTAGAGTTAGGACATGACATTACCCATTTAGGGCTATTTTTAGACAGAAGAGCTGTATATGCTTGCTTGGCAGTAGAAGGTAAGATTTGCTAAACTCACAGCAGCGTAAGGTAGTCTTCAAGTCACTGCAAGCACTGAGGTATACAGTGCCTAATACTGTATAAGTGGATATTTATGTGTCATAAAAGTTTAAGGGACTTTTTGCATGCTGAAATTAAAGCAAAAATATGATTTCTTCAATTTAATACTGTATTTGTGAAGAAGAAAGTTTGCCTACAAAAGAAATAATTTTTGCAGGATGAGAGTTTGCCTAAAGAAGAAATAATTTTTGCACAATCAAATATTTGCCAATACAGTACAGCCTCATTATAACGCTCATGTTGGAGTCCAATGTCTCGACACACTGTAATTTACAGTCCAGCTTTAATTGTGTCCCCTAGTTAATTAAACACGATTTACTTCCTGTCTAGGCCATTCTGTTTACAGTGCAGGATTTTAAATTGGTTTTGGGCTTGTGTGGGTTATTTAATTCAGCGAGGTTTACATGCCACAGATATGTGTGTGAATTTTAATTTATTTATACTCACCACCGGTTGCCCATGTCACAGTTATGATATGAATTTAAGATTTTGGAAACCATTTGATGCCTGACTGATGGACAGGTAAAACAACAAAAGAGCAGATAAATGCTAACCTGGGCATGTTTTCACACCTTTGGCGCTCATAAATGTCCTAATTACAATTGTTTATTGTACTTGACTGTCAAATTGAACAAGGGTTATAGCGCGCTATGAATCTAGATCTATTTATTTATTTATTGTTTTTTGTTTTTTTTTGAAAGCCAAGGTCTATGAGCACTATACTGAGATAAGCGTTATAATGGAGAGTAATATATCTAGGCTACAGTGTCATTACTAGCAAATATTTCTACATCGCAAAATTAACCACTTATACAGTAATATGGTTCCTTTTTGTCATCAAGGTCATGATGCTGTTAACAAACTAACCTCAAAATCAATAGTGGTCATCTTCTGGCTACAATCAAACTAACAAGTTACTTGAACCAAGGCTTATTTCTTCTCAAGTTATTAATGGGACAAGGACAAGGTTCCTATAGACTAGGGCTGTGTATTGCCAGGCAAAGTGCTAGTTTATATATGTATGTTTTGTGAAACTGAAGAGCAATACAGAAATTAGTTGGTTAAACAGCTATATATTAAAAACAGTAAATGTAGTCTTTAATGTTGCAAGACATAACCAACATGGAAGGGTATTAACGCAAAATTTACATTTTGCCTTCTTATGTTACATTGTGCTTTCTGACTTGTACATCTTGGATTCTTACTATTACATTTTGCATTATGACATGCACACAGTGCATTCTGGCTTGCACATCTTGCATTATGACTTGCACATTTTGCTTTAAATTGCATGAAACGTTCGTTATTTGACTATCTTCAATTTTGTCTACGTTAAAGTTATATGTTTGATCCTAAAATCAGTTCAGTTTAATTATAATGATCGTAAACTGTCTACATTTAATGTGTACAAAAATAGGAAACCTATGTTAATTGATTATACATGTATAAATAATACATGGAAGCACGCACTGTGTGCAATACAACAAAGCAGGTTGCAAACTACACTCTTTTTATGACAGAGGGCACAAGTTCCATACCCAAGCACTTTGAACAACTGTTCTATTTTATAAGTATTTTGTTGATAAAAAAAAAAATTAAAATCTTTGATTTGGAAATTTGCCACTTGTCATTGTCAGCTGGAAATATAATTTGACCTACACAGTTTCAGTAATAAATACAATAGTTGGTTCTTTAAATCGTTTTGTATTTATGTTTACCTTATTTGCTCCATAGTGGAAATGGAAATTATAAAACAAATGGTCGTAACTTGGCAAACTAAATCCGAACCGCAATATGGACTTTACAGAGAATATAACTGTAGGTAGTATATTGGGAGCTATCCTACTGGCCAAGCGTCGGCTACCTCGTCAATATTTCTGATTCAACTTTTTGCGCTTTTTCACCATAAGTTCTTTATGTCGTAAGGTATTTACTTCAAACTTGACATGTATGTTTCTTATCATCAACCACAACATATGTGACAAGGTCTTTAACTCTAGCAGAACTAGAAATGTGTCATTATGCCACGGATGCCCCCGCATGCAGCCAAAATTTCAGATTTTATAATATTTAGTTTCAAATTTGTTTGCACAAATTATTTTTTTTCATTTTAAGTTCAAAGCCCTTAAAACTTTTCTCCAGGAACGATGGTTAGGAAACTACCCGCCTATATGACTGAAATACTGTTGAAAAAGGCGTAAAATGAAACAAACAAACAAACTTAAAACTTTTCAATGTTAACACAAACCATTTTCATACAATGTTCAAGGCACTGAAATTATTCAGTCTTAACCTTTTGAAAATAGCATATTGCATATTTGTAGCCAAAATAATGGCTACATACATTTACACAAAAGTATGAGTGCTAAAACTGAAAGTTCAAAAATTTTCCAACATTCAGGAAAGATAAGTTTGTCCAAAATCATTGAACCATGACCAAATTCAAACTTAAACTGCTTATTCCTAAGATGTATCTATATTATTTTCAAAGTGAAAGGGACATAACCCTGCCAAAAAATCATCAAACCATGACCAAATTCCAACTTGACCTGCCCGTTCCTTTGACATATCCATATGTCAAATTTGAGTTGAATATGTAACACTGTTGGGTAGATAATGAACAGAAACTGTAAATTTCATATTATTTTAAAAGTGAAAGGGGCAATACTCTGCCAAAAATCATTGAACCATGACCAAATTTGAACTTGACCTGTATTTTCTAATGACATATCCATATGTCAAATTTGAGTTGAATGGCTGTAACGTACCGTTGGGGAGATAATGAACGGAAACTGAAAATTTCATATTATTTTCAAACTAAAAGGGGCATAACTCTGCCAAAAATCATTAAACCATGACCAAATTTGAACTTGGCCTGTATTTTCTAATGACATATCCATATGTCAAGTTTGAGTTGAATGTGTGCAACCGTTCTTAACATAATGAACGGAAACTGAAAATTTCATATTATTTTCAAAGTGAAAGGGGCATAACTCTGCCAAAAATCATCGAACCGTGACCAAATTCAAACTTTACCTGTATTTTCTCATGACATATCCATATGTCAAGTTTGAGTTGAAATGTGTTGTAACGTTGGGGAGATAATGAACGAAAACTGAAAATTTCATGTTATTTTTAATGTAAAAGGGGCATAACTCTGCCAAAAATCATCGAACCATGACCAAATTCGAACTTGATCTGTATTTTCTCATGACATATCCATATGTCAAGTTTGAGTTGAATGTGTGCAACCGTTCTTAACATAATGAACGGAAACTGAAAATTTCATATTATTTTCAAAGTGAAAGGGGCATAACTCTGCCAAAAATCATCGAACCGTGACCAAATTCAAACTTGACCTGTATTTTCTCATGACATATCCATATGTCAAGTTTGAGTTGAATGTGTTGTAACGTTGGGGAGATAATGAACGGAAACTGAAAATTTCATGTTATTTTTATTGTAAAAGGGCATAACTCTGCCAAAAATCATCGAACCATGACCAAATTCGAACTTGATCTGTATTTTCTCATGAATATCCATATGTCAAGTTTGAGTTGAATGTGTGCAACCGTTCTTAACATAATGAACGGAAACTGAAAATTTCATATTATTTTCAAAGTGAAAGGGGCATAACTCTGCCAAAAATCATCGAACCGTGACCAAATTCAAACTTTACCTGTATTTTCTCATGACATATCCATATGTCAAGTTTTAGTTGAATATGTTGTATCGTTGGGGAGATAATGAACGGAAACTGAAAATTTCATATTATTTTCAATGTAAAAGGGGCATAACTCTGCCAAAAATCATCAAACCATGACCAAATTCGAACTTGACCTGTATTTTCTCATGACATATCCATATGTCATGTTTTAGTTGAATGTGTTGTATCGTTGGGGAGATAATGAATGGAAACTGAAAATTTCATATTATCTTCAATGTAAAATGGGCATAACTCTGCCAAAAATCATTGAACCATGGCCAAATTCGAACTTGACCTGTATTTTCTCATGACATATCCATATGTCAAATTTGAGTTGAATGTGTGCAACTGTTCTTAAGATAATGAACGAAAAATGATGATGACGGAATGACAGAATGATGGAAGGACGGAATGACGGAACAGGGTAACACTATATGCCCCGGCCATTACATGGCGGGGGCATAAAAGTTATCAGAATTACTCCTTGAACTTGAATTGTCATGAAAAAAAAAAGATTTTTTTTATAACTATCTTAATTCATAATACAGTGTAACTTCTGAAAACCGAACACCCATGGGACTTTTCAAAAAGTTCGGATTTCAGAGGTTTCCGGAATTCAGAGGTTTATGATAATGTGGACAAGACTTGAATTTCTCTCAGTTTGTAGAAATGTTGTTAATTGCATGTCCGATGCTAGTTAATTAATTATTACACCAAATGCAATACATCCTAAAGACGTTTGATGCATACATTGTCCCAATTGATTGTCATTTAATCCGCTAATAAACACTTCAAATTAACTGACCGTCGTAAATTACTTTACTTAACCGCATCACTTCAAACATACCATTTCACAGTTTGTGATTTTAACGCGTGTCAAATTACACGATCACCGCTAATTAGTAAACAATCGATAGGGAGATTAAATCTTCCCGCAGGGTAAACATTCTCGATTTACAATGTATTTCACACCTTTGGATATTTCCGGTTTTTGGAGGTAAAATTGCATTGATTTGACTCTAATTTTACGAAAATATCGTCCGGAATTCAGAATTTAGAAGTTCCGGTATTCAGAAGTATTATATTAATAGAAAATAGAAGGGAAAAAATCGGGACCGAACAAATTGTTCGGTTTTTAGAAGTTTCCGGATTTCGGAAGTTCCGGAATTCGGAAGTTACACTGTATATCTACTTTAAACTTCATATATACGAGGGCTGATTGATAAAACCACA